GGACAGAGCGGAGTTTAGGGCTGTTGTACATAGGGTCGCTATGAGTCGCAAGCGACTCGACGGCACATAACAACAACAACAGCAACATGCCCAAAGTATGTGAGACAAAGCTTTATTATCTATGCCTCCAAGATGTACTCTGGCTGTACCTTCTCCAAGACATAATTGTTCTTTTGGCAGTCCACGGTATATTTAAAAATCTTCTGCATCGTTACATTCATTTATCATCAATTATTCTTCTTCCACCCTTCTTCACTGTCCAGCTCTCAGATTGCATAGCAAGTGGCTGAAAAGAGCATTGCCTGAATCAGCGCACCTTAGTCCTCAAACTTACATTACTGTTCCTCAATAATTTGGAAAGGTCCCTGATTGCAGATTTTGCCCAATGCAATATGAGAATTCAAGCTGAGAGTTTTATAATATATTTTAAAAACAGAAGGGAGGAAAAAGGAAAGAATGAAGCAGAGGACTAACCATCAACTTAAATACAATCTCGAACTTTGAGAGCATTCCAAATGTTCTCAAAATGTGCCGTTTCCTGTGCAGCAACTAGGGAATGAGAAATACTGAATACAGAGTTCTTTTGTGCCCTCAAATTTTGTGATTCAGAGATTCTACAGGAAAAAGTAAATCTAACCCATAGGGTTCCCCAGGGCATTAATATTTAGAAGAGTAGGTCAGCAAATATTTTGCAGTTTTTGGGTGGGCTTGAGCCAACAACCATTCAATTAGCAGTTGAGAATTTATCTGCTGTGCCACCCGGAAGCGGCTTGAATTTGCCAGCTGCAAAGATGGGCAATCTCCTCTCCAGCGATTTACTGCCTTCGAAAATCTGCTAGAGCGTCATCTATGGGTGGGTTCAGACTCGATGAAACGAAACAACGGAGACTAGAAGGAAAGAAAAATTAAGTAGCCAAGTTTCTCCCGGAGTTCCGAGCAACGTGACTTTTAAAATGCTTTCTCTGTACAAATCCTTCAATAGCAACGGTTCTGCCTCGGTAGGGTAAAGTCATGCATTTAAATGTAGTTGCTATTATCAGTAAATGAATGAACATTTACTGAAAAGGCCCGCAGGAGATGCTGGGTAAAAAATCGGTGGGCGTGGCCATTCGAGACTAGCCCGGAGATCACGCCCCCTTCCCAGGGTGCACCGCGGCGGCTGCCTGGCGGAAAACATTTTTTACCTGTTCCCGCTCCGCGCTGTACGCACTCCAGTCATGGACGGGCTCCGGGCCAATTCTCTATTGCCCAGGCGAGGGCGGCTGCGGCGCCGCCGCCAGCCCCAGCCGCACAGCGGTTCGGTCCTGGCCCTGCCCTTGAGGCCTAGGAAGATCCGAAGGCAGCTGAGGAAGAGTGTTGCGTCCCGCATGGCCGCGCGGAGGGCCCAGGCGTTGCCGAGTGATGACGCTCAGGACTCGCGGATGGAGTCGGCGGTTGATGCTCCAGGTGATCCTTTGTCCGGTGGGGCGGCAGCGGCGGCGGCTACTCCAGAGACGGCCCCGCCTGCGGCCCGCACCGGACAGGCCCCCCGCGCTCCGGTGGAGGCGCAGACCCCTCCCGCGCGCCTCACAGAGGCGCAGACCCCACCCGCGCGCCCCGTGCCAGCTCCCGTGCCCGCCCGCGTGGTGGACACTTCGGCCCCGCCGTCCAGTGCCCAGCACGTGGCCGCCCCTGCGACACTGTCGGGTTCTCAAGGGGACAGTGCAGGGGGAGAGCCGTCCCGGGACTCCCCGCTGCAGCGCGTCCTGGCCGAGCTGAACCGCATCCCCAGCAGCCGGCGGCGGGCCGCGCGCCTCTTCGAGTGGCTCCTCGCTCCCATGCCCCCGGAGCACTTCTATCGGCGCCTGTGGGAGCGCGAGGCCGTGCTGGTGCGGCGGCAGGACCACGCCTACTACCAGGGCCTCTTCTCCACCGCCGAGCTGGACTCCATCCTGCGCCACGAGGACGTGCAGTTCAGCCAGCACCTGGATGCCGCGCGCTACGTGAACGGGCGGCGCGAGACCCTGAACCCGCCGGGCCGCGCTCTGCCCGCCGCCGCCTGGTCCCTGTACCAGGCCGGCTGCTCGCTGCGCCTCCTCTGCCCGCAAGCCTTCTCCACCACGGTGTGGCAGTTCCTGGCGGTGCTCCAGGAGCAGTTCGGTAGCATGGCCGGCTCCAACGTTTACCTCACGCCCCCCAACTCGCAGGGGTTTGCCCCCCACTACGACGACATCGAGGCCTTCGTCCTGCAGCTGGAAGGGAGGAAACACTGGCGCGTCTACCGGCCCCGAGTCACTGCCGAGGAGCTCGCCTTGACCTCCAGTCGCAACTTCACCCAGGAGGACCTGGGTGAGCCGGTGCTGCAGACTGTGCTGGAACCTGGGGATTTGCTCTATTTTCCTCGGGGCTTCATTCACCAAGCCGAATGCCAGGATGGGGTGCACTCTCTGCACATCACCTTGTCCACGTACCAGCGCAATACCTGGGGCGATTTCATAGAGGGCGTGCTACCTCTAGCTTTACAGGCTGCGATGGAAGAAAATGTGGAGTTTCGGAGGGGTCTCCCCCGAGACTTCATGGATTACATGGGGGCGCAGCATTCCGATTCCAAGGATCCTCGAAGAACCGCCTTCATGGAGAAGGTACGGGTCTTGGTAGCCCGCCTGGGGCACTATGCCCCTGTTGATGCTGCAGCCGACCAGCGAGCCAAAGACTTCATCCACGACTCTCTGCCTCCTGTGTTGACTGACAGGGAGAGGGCGCTGAGTGTGCATGGGCTCCCCATTCGCTGGGAGTCTGGAGAACCCGTTAACGTTGGCTCCCAGTTGACCACAGAAACGGAAGTCCATATGCTTCAAGATGGGATAGCGAGACTCGTGGGTGAGGGAGATCATTTGCTCCTCTATTACACAGTGGAAAACTCCCGTGTTTATCACTTAGAAGAAGCCAAATACTTGGAAATACACCCCCAGCAAGCTGATGCCATGGAGCTGTTGCTCCGCTCCTACCCAGAGTTTGTGAGGGTAGGAGATCTGCCCTGTGACACCGTGGAAGAGCAGCTCTCCTTGGCAACCATGCTATACGATAAGGGGCTGCTGATCACCAAGATACCTCTCACTCTAAACTAGTTTTTTGTTGCTTGCTAGAAAGACACTAGTGGTTCCCCCTACCACCAGCACCTTTAAAGAACTCGTGTTCTTACCTTGATGAACCTCTTTGGATAAACCTCATTGAACTATCTGTTCACATTTACCTGTACGACTGCTTCAGTGTCACAGAACTCAGATGGTCTTCGTGGAATAACCACCTTATCTAGGTACAAAAGTAAAAAGTTCAACGTGGAAGAAAGTTTTCACAGAAGTAACTTTGATCCCTGATCATTTCAGAACAACTTTTTACCATCCTCTGGCTGCAGTGTTACTCTGTCTGAGAGTTTCCAAGGAGGGTTGGAGTCAGTATATGGTTTGTTACTGTGAGTTTGTATGAACATTAGAAAAGTTATAAAAATGCCTTGTTAGAAGGAATGTGGGAAATGGTGAAAGAGAAAAAATTTGTAATGACTGAAGTGGAATCAATAATTAAGGTGGTTGTCAGATATAAAATGAATGTGTTGAATGCTCCTTTTAGGAAAAAGAAGCACATCAGAATAGGGCCAAGATACTTGAACCCCAAACAGCACAGTCCTATTCTAAGTTGCTAGCCAGGCCAGTTTCTAAGTGTGTTATATTTTTCCTTGGTGCTTGGGTGTGAAAGTTTGTGGCAGTACTCCCACAGAGGCGGCCTGTCACTTAGTTTTGCTCTCTGTAAACCAGTTTATAGGAGGCTAGCTATGAGGGAAAGCTGATGATTAGTCAGTTTCCACTCTTCCCCCCCCCCCCTTCCTTTGGCAGTTTAAAAGAAACATCCCCAATGTGGCAAGTGAATATTCACATGATTTGTGGGGAAGAGCGTTGGACTTGGAACCAGTCCTGGATTGGGATGGTGGCTGGTAGGCTGCTTGTTGAATGGCCCAAGCCTTCTGCTATGCCTAGGCCCATAGATCTTCCCGTCTTTTTTTGTTGTTGTTGTTGCACATTTTATCCTTCGACCCCCACTTCCAGCCCACCCTACAATGTACCCATTATTCTCATGCATAAGATGCATAATCATACATTCCTTTCAGACAGTTCTTCCCCTCATCTGTTATAATGCAGTGTTCATTAACCATCTACTCTTTCCTATTCCTTCCCCAGCACCCCTCCCCCTATTTTATAACAATGGTGTTAAGCAGTATTTGTCCTTTTATGGTTGAGATATTTCACTTAGCATAATGTCCTCCAGGTTCTCCAATGGTGTGTAATGTTTTTTTTTTACTATTTTTAATGCTGCGTAGTACTCCATTTTGTGAATGTACCCTAGTTTTTGTAGGTTTTCTATCCATTCATTGGTTGATGGGCACTTGGGTTGCTTCCATCTCTTTGCTGTTGTGAGTAATACAATAATAAACATGGGTGTGCACACATCTGCTTGAGTCGTGGCTCTGGTTTCTTTAGTGTATATTCCCAGTAGTGGAATTGGCAGGGTTAAATTATATTTCTGTTTCCAACGAAAATCCCACCAGACTGCCTTCCATAGTGGCTGTACCATTTTACACTCCCACTAGCAGTGAATAGGAGTTCCAGTCTCTACAACCTCACCAGCATTTGTTTGCTGTCCTGTTGAACTTGAGTATTTTTGCTGGGGGCACATAGATTTTCTAAGTATATTTTGATACAACCTGATTTCTCCATCCACTCTTCATTTAGGTCATGTCTGGGACTCTGAAAATTCTATTACTGTATCTGATAGGTTCATTCCTGTAGAGTTGGACACTTTTTATATAAACTTTAGGTTTCCTTTAACTTAGAGAAGTGGTGTTACTGTTGGGTGCTAGTCCTGTAAATAGGGCTTTGGTCAGTGTCTTTTTTTCATTGACTATGAAGCATAAAGTTCCTCTCTTGGGTATTATTGTTATGTACTTACTGTTGGATCTGAACTGACCTATGGCTGACCCTTCATCAGGTTTTCAGAGGCACACAGGAGATTACCCCGGTCTTTCACCCAAGGAACAGCTGGTGGATTTGAACTGTGCCTGCAGGTGGCAGGTAGTGCAGCTCCTTACCACCACTAGGGCACCAGAGTTCTCCTGAAAAGCTGGAGAGTCAGCTCTGAGATGCTTCCAAGTCTTCACCAAGCATAACATTTTCTTGGGTTTACACATTCATAAAGTAAAAATGACTGTTCTTTAGCCCCATGTCCCAGAGTTGACCATTATTAAAGTTTCAGGCCTTTTAGCATACAAACAGATCTTTGAGACAGTGCAGCCAAAGGGCTCCTTGGAAGCATGATTGGTGAAGCTTCAGCTCACATTCTTTGGGCATGATGCTACATATGCTATTCCTTGGAGAAGAGTATTATGCTTGGAAAGCTGGGGGGAGAGGCAGACCCTCAACCAGGTGGATTGACACAGTAAAATTGGCACAAGATAGGACTGTTAAGATCTTTTAATAGGGTTGCTATGAGTCCTACTGAATGGCACCCAACAATGAACAAAGTTTTTTTTCTTTTTTAGAAATTAATGTTTTTTTTTAAAATGTAGCCTTTTTGATCTAACCTTTAAATCAGTTTAGACAGACATTTAGTTTTGGTTTTTTTAGGGGAGGAAGCAGGAAGGGCAATGATACAAGGAGGGTGGAGGATCACAGCAAAGTACTCAGACCAGTCTCCCTTGATGGATAAACAAGGTCTCTGACGAGGGGGAGACTCAGCCGCAGCGCGGATGAAAAGCTGCAGTAGGAAGTTGTGTGGGTAGAGTGCCGGGCAACTTAAGCCGCTGAGTGCATGGACCCCGCCGTACCTGGTATTCGCGCTTTTGCAAGGAGCCAGGTTGGTCACACGCAGAGCTCCAAGGCCTTTCATGACTGTGCATCAAGCCTGGAATCGCGCCCTTGGGATTCAGAGCCCTCTATGCACAGACACGTAGTGCTACCGACCCCCACACCCCTATTGCCGACTTTGTCCCCCCTTACTCCGTCTAGACTGCCCCGTCTCCAGCGGGAGGATCTTGTGGATTCAAACCGCCTGCCTTCGGGATTGCAGTGCAGCTTCTTGGAACTAGGCTACCAGCGCTCCCTTGACATTTTATTTATTTTTTAAATTAAGGATACAAAACCATTTAGGTCAGGAAAATAACAGATTTAGAGACTGAGTGTCCAGAAGGAAAGGATTACGCCTCTCCTGTTTCTGTGCTCAAACATACGGCTGCTAGAAAACGCCCACTAAAGTCAAGGCAACGAACTTGCTCCTAGGAAACCTACCTTGAAAAGTTTCCTGGAGAAGAGTACTGATTTTCAGTGATTCTTGTCCCGTTTTGGGTTGCAAATAAACACGTCTTGCTTTCTCTTTCAGTTTTATCAGGACTCTCTCGATTTTGTATATTGTTTCTGTTAGTAAATCCTTTTGGCTTAGGGTATGAATCTAAATCAAAACAAATGTTAAAAAACCCAGCTGTACTAGGCTACAAACCATCAACAACCGCTAATAATGTAACTGATTGCTGGTAACATACTGACTACATCATGCTGCTTATTGGGACACAAATACTTGACAACACCTATAGTAGGAATTAAAGAAGGAAAAAAACTGAGGTCAGCTCCATTCCTCGTGGAAGGGCTTGGGTGTTTACAAGGTGATAAGACCGTGGAGATGAAGGGAAACAGTATTTCTAAAATAATAACTAGTCTGATTTTGAGGGCTGATTTCAAGCACTCATTAGCGATATCCTTCATTACGGTTTTTGTTTTGCTAATAGGATTTTATAATATGGCCTTGCACAGATATTTTCTGTCTTCAAATATATGGGTCTATGTTTAGGCTGATAGTATTTCTGAGTGGGGGGAAAAAGCTGTGAGAAATTCTTGTAAGTCATTTGTTTCCCCTTGAAAACATAGTGTGCATATATCTACCCTGTTCTTGATCTTCTGAAGCATTTCTTGGTTTCCTTCATTCTCTAAATTGAGTCTCTTCATTGCATGTTGAATTTCCCTGAAAGATAAGGAGGACTTCTTAGATTCTTCTTCCATATGGTAAAAAGAAGGGACAGTATAGGCAAAATTCTTCAGTTCCAGTCCTAACTTGGAAGTTTTACTGAGATTTATCTGTAAAAGTAGTGTGACCTAGTGGCAAGAAGCTGCACTGCAATTCTAAAGGCACACAGTTCGAATCCACGGGAGAAGGATGAGCAAGCTCCCATGGAAATCTGCTGGAGGGTCAGCTGTGGGTCAGTTCTGACTCTGGTACAGAATAACAACATCATACAGTGATGGTATATACATATTATAAAAATAGTGTGGAGCTTAGCTTGTGAAGTGTTGAGGTGATACATGTGAAGATACTAACTTGGTGTCATTGACTGAATGTGTCATTTCATCAATCATCACCACAGCTTTATAACGTAGGCATTGATATGTGAAGAAACGGGCTCAGAGAGGTTAAATAACTTGCCCAGGCTCTTACACTCAGTACATAACATAGCTAAGATGAGAACCAGGTTTTTGACAGGGAGAGCTTGTCAGACAAGGTACATAATAAATGTCAGTTGAATAAACTGAGTGACATCTGTGTGGAGTTTCCACCTGTATGGAGGAAAGGTGCATGAACTCAATAGGCTTGGCTTTCTATTTAGGCCAGGTATTTTTTTCTCTCTCACTTGGTAAATAAGTAAGTGAGTAACATGGGTGAGCCTGTGCTTTTACTATGATCAGGGAGTCCGTGAACAAGGGTTGAAGAATTAGTAATCCAAGAGGTGATGGTGGAACCAGAGCTTTAACACTTACTTTAGAACAGCATCATGATTCTCCAGGAGCAGCACATTTAGAAAGGTGTCCCTAACCTGGTCCCCCTGAAGATTGAGGGCTAGTATGCTGCGGCAAGCTTCCATTCGTACGCCGGGTGAGTCTTCATAGTGGATAGCCCAAAGCAGGAGGTCTGTCAGATGAGGACTCACTTGGCCAATCTGCCCCAAAGCTGTAGAGATTAAAAGGAAGCACAATCCTCAGTCACTTGAAACTTGGTTGTATCCCAGCATCCAGAAATGGCCTTACTAGTAAGTAAGTGATATCAGAAGCTGTATGATAAATTGATTATTACAAACAGTATCTTTGTTTTTGGATGGCAATTAATCATTAGAATTTTAGTGATAGGTTAGAGTGGGACATTATCTTTAAAAGAAAACGAGGAAGGTTGACTGACTTGTGCATTTGAGTTGCTTGTAACTCATAGTGGCCCTGTGTACAACAGCTCTGAACCCTACTCTATCCTGAGGCAAACTTATTCTGGCATTATCTACCTCCATTCTCCCCGTCATTGTGATAGTCTATCTCATCCAGGGTCTTCCTCTCCTGCACTGTCCCTCCACCCTTCTAAGCATGATGTCCCTCTCCAAGGCCCCCTTGTAACATGTCCAAAGTATGTCAGATGAAGCTTCAGAATCCTTGCCTCCAAGGAGCAGCCTGGTTTCACCTTCTCCATGACGAACCTGTTTGTTCTAGCATCCCATAGTACATTCCATACTCTTCTCAAGCACCACAGCTCAAAGGCATCAATTCAGATCTTCTGTCTTCCCTAGTCATTGTCAAGCTTTCTGATACATAGCAAGTAATTGTGAAGACCATGGCCTGGATCAGGCCATCTTAGTCTCCAGACTGACATCCTTGCTTTTCAGTACTCTGGAGAGGTCCCTGAAAGCAGATTTTCCCAATACCCCTTTTAATTTCCTGGCTGATGGTACCAAGAGTGTTAATTGTGGGTCTAAGCAAGCTGAACCTATTAATAATCTCTTCACTGTCTTTCATGATGCTGCCAATCGGCCCAGTGGTAAGAATATTTTTTTTTTATAAATTTTTCATTTTATACTGGTTTACTTACAAAGTTTATATACATTGTTTTTCACACCTGATCTTTCCCCTTTCCTTTCCCCACTCTTACATCCACCTATCAAATTGTGCAATCCTATGATTAAGCCAACCCCCCTTCATCCTCACCCATCTGCTGCTCCTTCACCTTGTATCCTCTCACATGTTCTACAATAATGGTCTTACACAGTAATTGTCCTTGTGGGACCGAGTTAGTTCACTTAGCATAATGCTCTCCAGTCCCTCCCAAGTTAGGTAATAATTTACAAAATCATTGCTCTTGTGTGCTGAATAGTATTTCACAGTGTGAATATACCATAATTTCGCAATCCATTCCATTGTGGTTCGACATTTGGGCTATTTCCATGTTCCCGCTATGGTAAATAATGTTGCTATGAACATTGGTGTACAAGTTTCTATTTGTGCCTCAGTTTTCATTTTCTCAGGCTATATTCCAAGCAGTGAAATAGCTGGGTCATATGAAATTTCTATGTTCAGCTTTTTGAGGAAGTGCTAAACTGCATTTTACAATCCCACCAACAATGTGTAAAACCACATCCTCTCCAACATTTATTACTTGCTGCTCTGCTAAACTTTGCCACTGCTGCTGGGGTAAGGTGGTATCTCATTGTGATTTTGATTTGCATCTCTTATTACCAGTGATATTGAGCATTTCTTCATGTGACTGTTGGCTATCCAAATGTCCTCCTCTGTGAAAAATCTTACCATGTCTCTTGCTTATTTTATAATTGGATTATCAGTCTTTTTCTTCAGGAGGCCCAGGAATATTCTGCAAACTTCTGTAATGAGACCCTTGTCTGAGATGGTATTGCCAAATGTTTGTTCCCAGTCAGTAAGTTTTCTGTTCACCCTATTAGAAAAAGTTTTTGATGAGCACAGAGTTTTAATCTTTAGAAGGTCCCATTTGTCAATTTTATCCTCTTGAGTTTGTGCATTTCTGACTGTATTTGGCAGTCTCTTTATTACCATAGACTAACTAGTCCATCTAAGCTTGATCACAGTTTGTCTCTTATGAACTTTATGGTTTGGGGCTTTCTTCCCAGGTCTCTGATCCACCTTGAGTTGATTTTGTGTATGTGTGAGATGTGGATCCTGTTTCAGCAGTTATCAGTCCAGTTTTGCCAGCACCATTTTTTGAAGAGGTTATCATTTCCCCATTTGATAGGTTTTATTTCCTTGTTGAAGGAAATAAAGTTGACTGTAGATAGATGGGTCCAGTTCTGGATCTATGTGTCTGTCATTGTACTAGTACCATGCTGTTTTGGTTACTACTGCTGTGTTTTGAGGTCAGGGAGTGCTATGCCTCCCACTTCATATTTGTTTTTCAGAGGTGCTTTGCTTATCTGGGGACTCTTTTCTCTCCAAATAAACTTGATAATTTTTTTCAATCTCCTTGAAAAATGAATTTGGTATCTGTATTGGGATTGTGTTGAACATGTAGATTGCTTTTGGTAGGATTGTCATTTTCACAATATTTAGTCTTCCTATCCATGAACAAGGGACATTTTCCCATTTATTTAGGTTTTTATTGTGAGAATCTTTGTTTTCTTGATGTTGAGCTTCAAGACATATTGAAGGCTGCAGTCTTTGACCTTCTGCAGCAAATGCCTCTTGTCCTGAGTTTCAGCAAGCAAGGTTGTGTAATATCCATAATGTAGGTTGTTGAGGAGTCTTCCTCCAATCCTGATGCTACATTCCTCCTCATAGAGGCCAGCCTCCTGGATGATCTGTTCTGTGTATAGGTTAAAAAGGTATGGAGATAGGATGGATCCCTGGTGCACACCTTTCCTGATTTTGAACCATGCAGTGTTTCCTTGCTCCGTTCTGACGATTGCCTCCTGGTCCAAGTATAATGTTTTGTATAAGTACAATCAACTCTTCTGGGATTCCCATTCTTCTCAAAGTCAGCCACGATTTGTTGTGATCCACACAGTCAAATGCCTTTGCATAGTCAATGAAACACAGATATTCCTCTGGTCTTCCCTGCTTTCAGCTAAGATCCATCTAACAGTAGATATAATATTCCTAGTACCATGGCCTCTTTTAAATCCAGCCTGCACATCTGGCATTTCTCTGTTGATATGCTGTTCCAGTCACTTTTGGTTAATTTTCAGTTGGATCTTGCTTCCATGTAATAGTAAAGATTTTATTTGAAAATTTCCACACTCTGTCGGTTAACTTTTTTTTTAGAATGGGAATAAATATGGAGCTCTTCTAGTCCATTAGCCACGTAGTTGTCCTCAGGATTTCTTGGGACAACTTGGTGAGCACATCCAGGGCAGCATCTGTTTGTTCAAATATGTTAGTTGGTATGTCGTCAATTCCTGGGGCTTTATTTTTGCCAATTCCTTCAGAACAGCTTAAGCTTCCTCTTTCATCACCACGGGCTCTTGATCGATCATATGTTGTTTGATGAAACTCTTCTGTGTCAGCCAATTCCTTTTGGTACAGTGACACTGTGTACTTCTTCTATCTTCTTTCAGTGCTTCCTGGATCATTTAATTTTCTGTCCAAAAGCATACTTAAGTATTAGAACTCAAAGTTTGAATTTGTTCTTCAGTTCCTTCAGCTTAAGAAATGTTTAGCAAGTTCAGCCCTTCTGATTTTCTGACTCCAGTTCTTTGCACATTTCATTACAATACTTTGCTTTGTCTTCCTGTGCTGCCATTTGAAATCTTCTGTTCGGCTCCTTAACTTCTTGATTTCTTCCCTTTGCTTTGGCTTCCTGGTGCTCTAGTGCAATATTGAGAGTCTCTTCAGACATCCATTTTGGTCTTGTCTCTCTGGAGACTAAGGTGCATTTATACAGGGTATGGTCTTTGCAATCACTTGTTATGCATCAGAGAGTTGGACAGTGACTAAGGAGGATAGAAGGAGAATTGATGCCTTTGAGCTGTGGTACTGGAGAAGAGTATTGAGGGTACCATAAACTGCTAGGAAAACAAACAGATTCATCCTGGAAAGGGTTAAACTGGGTGGCTCCTTGGAGGCAAGGATTCTGAGGCTCCGTCTGACATACTTTGGACATGTTGTAAGGAGGGACCGGTCCTTGGAGAAGTACATCATGCTTGGTAGGGTGAAGGGACAGCGCAGGAGGGGAAGGCCCTCTATGAGGTGGATTGATTCAGTGACTGGGGTAATTGGGATGGGTGTATTGGAGACAGTGCGATTGGCACAGGACAGAGCAGAGTTTAGGGCTGTTGTACATAGGGTCGCTATGAGTCACAAGCGATTCGACAACACATAACAACAGCAAACAAATGTCTTTGTAATGACCTTTTCATTCTTCTTAGATGGTACACTTTTTTTGTTTTGTTTTGTTTTTTTCTTCTTGTATGCCATCAAATCAGATCCGACTGGCACAGGAAGAGATTGCTCCTCCTCCAGTGGTGCATCTGGTGGATGTGAACCGTGTACCTTTGGGGTTGCAGTGCAGTTGGATGATATTCTTGATATCTTCCCACAGCTCCTCTGATCTTCGCTCATTAGCTCCTAGTGTTCTAGGCCTCAAACCTGTTGCTGAGATGGTTTTGAAATTTAGGTGGGAAAGGCTCAAGATCAAATTTTGGTTCCTGTGGATTTGATTTAACCCTCTTTAGCTTTAGTTTGAACTTACATGAGTCGTGATGGTCTGTTCCACCATCAACACCTGGCCTAGTTTTCACAGCTGATACTGAGTTTCTCCAGCAATTCTTTCCACAGATGTAATTGATCTGATTCTGTGCATACCATCATGTGTATAGTCTGCAATTGATGTTTCTTTTCTTTTTTTAATTTTATTATTTTTGTGTGTGTACTGTCAAGTCAGATCTGACTGGCACAGGAGGAGATTGCCTCTCCTTCTCCAGCAGAGAATCTGGTGGATTCGACGTTTAGGTTTCTTATAAAAGCTATCTGCAATGAATAATTGGTTGTATAGAGTTCTATCATTCTATCTCAAGCCTCATTTCTGTCACTAAGTGTATGTTTTCTGACTACTGATCTTTCTTCCCTGTTCCCAACTTTTGCATTCCAGTCACCATTATTATTAGTGTATTATTTATTATTAATGCATATTATTGATTGCATGTTTGATCAATTTCTGACTGCAAAAGTTGGTTGAAATCTTCTATTTCTTTCTTTTTGGCTCTGGTGGTTGATTATATTAATCAGTGGTAATTAAGGCTATAAAACAGTGCCTATGAATGTGTGAAAACCAAAAAATTATATGTAAACCTTCACTCAAAACAGAAATAAAAACTCAAACAACAAGAAAGCTGACCCACTCCGTGGAAAAAGGAATACCTAAGAGGGGGTGTGTACTGTCCCAACTCTTCTAGACTACCTATTGGTCTTGGGATAAAATATGGGACAGCAAACTTAATACCAGCCTAATCAAGGCAGAGTAATGTGGCAGAGGGGAGACATAGTTACTCCATAGGTTTACCTAGCAGTTTCACCTGAAACCACCAAAGAGAAAAGCAGTGCTAACAATTCCTATAAAGAAACTGAAGAAATTAGCAGAGTTTTACATCTATCTTTAGCAGTCTTGGATCTGGTCTGACATTACAGAGTCCTAATGTTGCAGCTTCTAGGGAAAATAAGACATATCCAATAGTGGGAATTTAGGGAATTTATCCTTGATTTTGTTGGCAGGGACTATCTAGCTGTCCCTTTGCCATTATAAGTTTGGCATAGAGGGAGTTCTGGTGGCCTAGTGGCAAGAAGCTGCACTGGGATTGCGGAGGTACACAGTTCAAATCCACCAGATGCTCTGCTGGAGAAGGAGGGGCAATCTCCTCCTGTACCAGTCAGATCTGATTTGAGGGTACACACATTTTAAAAAATTTTTTAAAAGTTTGGCATAGGATCTTTATTTAAAACTCTAAAGAAACTTTCTCTTCTCAGGCTAGGCGCTAGTCAAAAGTTAAATCATCCCCCCGCCCCCTGGATTTTTAAATATCATTCTGTATTAGTTTATGGTAAGGTGTTTGAGGTTGAGCTGAAACTTATTTTTATATACCTTGAATGGCAAAGGCCTTGATTTTCCAGTACGGATCTCTCTGCATCAGATTCAGGAGGCATTCAAGCACCTGGGATGGATGAAAGTCAAGTGTTGAGTAGGGAGGATCAGAACAAATATGAGACATGGATCCCACTTGTCTCTAAAATGTGCTCAAATTGAAAAACGAGCTTGTATAAACTCTAGTAGTAACAGGTGAGTTGGAGGCCAAAGTATTAGCAAAAATGTAGTACTGTTTGTTGAGCTACCTAGTCTCTGGATTGATTTTTCTCAGCCCACTTCTTCAGGCCTACGTGTTTCTTGCAGGCTTCCCAATAAAAAGTAGAAATTGTAGTAAAACTCGGAGTCACTGGGTGGCATAAATGGTTAGGTGCTCACCTACAAAACTGTAAGGTTGCAGATTTGAACCACCCAAAGGCACCTTGGAAGAAAGGCCTGGTGTTGTGTTTCCCAAAGTTCACAGCCTTGAAGACTAGGAAGAGTGATAAAGAGCGATAATTGTTTACTCTGCAGTGCAGGGGAACACCATGAGTCAAAGTGGACTTGGGTTTGGTTGTGTTGTAATCCCTTTCATTGGAATTGGTCCTAATGCCCCTCAGCAAATAGGCAATGAAAAGCTAGTTAACTGAGGTGAGTGATACCAGGATTAGGTAAGCATGGATATATCCTATATTCAGAAGTCTAATTACATTGATTGATTGGCCTGTATCATTTCACCTTCCTGGTCTGATAATAGCTGTGTCTCCACAGAATGGTAATTATATTTATTATGCAAAACAGAAGATCAGGGGAATGCCCATTCCAGGTCCATCCAGTAATTGGGAGCATACTTCCTTAATTTACCATCTTGTCGCAGATTTTCAGGGCACCAGCTGCTAGACAGGCTTCCCGCCGGACTGCCACAAAGTCATCAGAGAAGCAGTTGAGGAAACTGGGGAGAAGCTTGGCAGTCATGAGCTTGAGTCCACCAATCATGGAGAGGGCTTCCACTCGCTCCTGGGAATTTCCTTGACCCAGTTTGACTCTACAAAGCACAAAGTGATTCTGTTTTCCCTCTTTAAAGCTTCAATTGCCCTCCCTCTGTCCTCATGACCTCAGGCTCAAATCTAAGCTCTAGGCTCTCCATTACCCAGCCCCACTCCTTCCTATTCAGCCGGATGCCCTTTAGGTTAAGCTTGCATGGATACCATCCTATTTACCTGCATAATTATTATCCAGGATGTGCTATGTTGACGGAAGGAATGAGGTTTCAGCAAACACTCCCTTGCCACAATCAGGTTCTTTTCTCTGCTCTCAAGTTTTTACCTTGCTCATTGGTTTTTTTGCATCTGCCTCCCACTCTATATTTAACATTCCATTTTTCTGCTACAGCAGTTAGGGCCTATGTCATTAATTCTATTTTTTTTAAATATAGTTGCTACAATCAAGGATGCTTTAGGCAGAATGTTAAATGATCCAGGAGGTATCAAAAGAAG